TTGTCGTGGCACTCGATAACGCCGGCATTGTTTGCCGTAATCGCCGCTCGCAGAGCGAACTATAATCCGCAGACCCCCGCATACATTTCGCGTAGGTCGAATGCCTGCTGCTCGAGGACGTCGCCGACTGTTAAATTATGACCGCGTAATTAAGATGCGAGTCGATTGTTTCATACGGGGGAGGGGGAGGCGGGGAGGGCTGCTCACGCGCGAACGCGGAGACGACGAGCTTAACTTAGCTTCGTAATAAGGACCACGTAGACGGGATATTAAGCTCCGTGGTGTTCCGTATTTCGCGATTGTCCGCGTTGACACATCGCGGAGAAATGAAATTCCACGTATAACGCGCAATCGTTCGCGTCGATAGCGAAGTGTGATCGAAGATCTTTTTCGAGAGATGCTCTCAGAAAGAGATGTACCTAATCCATCTTATCTTTCCGCGGAATATTAGACGAATCTTCACGAATACAAATAATCTTCTTGCATTCGAATTGTAACGTTACGCGATTCTTTCTATCGCATATATCGATTACTCGAAATACTCAATTTTCCTTTCAATTTTCCGCATTTCCCTTGTATCCGGACGTGTAACAGTCACAAGAGGAGAGAGATGCCATTGACGTTATGTGTTGCGTCTTGATTGTTAACGTAATGACGTAATGATGCTATATTATGGGGGATGCGCGTTATAGGAATCGATCGTTTGCCAGATGTAATTACAGACCGAGGCATTAGCGGAGACGCACGAGCAAGATACGATTATTATCGCATGCTTACCGCCGCAGGTGCGTTCACGGACAAACGTGCAAAGCAAGTTCTGATAATGACCGGGTCTACAATGGATTCACAGACAGAGGGCGCGAATATATTGACGTAAATCTTCTCTCACGAGAGAAAAGTTGTTTGAAATTAAATGCATGTATATTTTTCTCTCATTTTCTTCTCTTTCTGAATTTGATTGAAGAAATTGTTTATTTTAAACAAAACAAACAAAAATATTTTCGCGAGTAAATGTGCACATTCAATATTATTTTGCACATGCAACTCCACGTTCAAATACTGCTTTCATAAAATATACGCTATCGTTTATCAATTGAAATATATTGTTTTTTAAAATTTAAAAAAAAATTTATTAATATATTGTTTTTAAAACAAAAAAAATTCAAGTTTTTTAACTAAAAAAATTGCATTCCAGTAAAGATTTCGTGAAAGTGAAATATAAAATATAAATTAAAATACCAAAATAGCTTGTTAAAAATTATACACTCTTAAGCATGAAATGAGTACTTAAATTAAAAAACTAAGAGTTTTGAATACAAGTAAGTGTGTCATTAGCGCCGAATAAGCAGTTTTCTTGAATAAAATAAAAGTGTTTTTTTTGTTTCAGTATAATTTTTCAGTGAAAGGAAATGTAACCTTTCTGTTTTTATTTTATGTTATGTTTTTATTTTATATGTTATGTTTTCATCGATAATACGTTCCTTTTTTTGTTTTTATTTACAATACAATTAATTTATTATTGATGACGATGTTTCTTTATTATTTATTTTATTTCGTTAAATTGCGCTTATGATGAAAAAGAAAACGCTCATTGTCAGTGATTAGATATTTCATCGGGAATTGTTTTATTAACGATGCATATTGTTACATATTATATTAACATACACATACATCTCTCTCTGACACGTCGCTTTGTAACAATTGAGTTCCGATTGACCAATGTCGCTGCCGTCAATCAACGAGTCAGTTGCACGAGATATGTAACCCCGCGCCCATTATAGACTGTAATGTCGCGAGAATAACGTTGTCGGGGGGTCGAACGGGAGGGAGGGAGGGAGGAAGGGAGGAGGGTTTGAGCTGTTTTTGTTTTTTCGAAACTGTCGCCGCACTCGCCACCGCGGCGAAATGAGAAACGATCACGTTTGCGGTGCAATTATCGCGTTAAAACGCAAAAGCGAGCGGTTAATGTCGCGCGCAAGTTGTCATAATTGGCCCCGCGCGTACACGGGCCAAGCCAGCAAGCGTACGCGCGCGCGCGCGCGCGTGTGTGTGTGTGTTTGTGTGAATGTGTTGCAGTTCTTTTCAAAAAAACCTAGACGTAATTGCATTCCCCCATTGTGCAAAAGACGAGAGCGAGTCTTCAAAGCGAGTTGTTTTGCTCACCTTCGCGAGACGTGGTCTGTGAATATAGACCACGCGCGAATGCGGATGGTCCCTGAGCTACGGCGTTTCGAATGTGTTCACCCATATCTATTTCGAGATACGTCGGAGTTACGCCTACTCGCGAGAAAAGAAAAAAAAACGAGTTACGAGACTTCTCTCTTCCTCGCCTCTGCTTTTTATCTGGAACAGAGTTAGTTTTGTGCTTCTTCGAGAGTATTTGAGATGTTCATAAATGTGCCATTTGAGAACCCCGTTGCCGCTCCACGCGCGCGCGCGAAATATGACAAAAACATCGTTTTCTCTACAATTTAGCGCGAGATATCGAAATATCTTCTCCGATCTCCGATGGTGTTTCAGAAGTGACCGTTTCTATTTCGCGCGAATCGCTGGCGCTTTTCGAACTGGTGCTTCTCGACCGCAAATAGAATACTTGTGAAACCATTCAATCGCGCGCGCGCGATCTCTACTTATATACAGCTCCGGCTACTTATATACGGGTTTCTCCGCGACTACTGCTGCTACTCGAAATTGAGTTGAAACGTAATAGCCATATTAGCTCGATGTATTTTTCAAGCGGAAACTCGCATCAACTTTTTCGCGCGCGTTATTGCGTGCGCGCGCGATACGGTTGCTTTGCGATCTTTGCAATATTATCGCGTTTTATTTTTCAAAACTCACCTTTTTCTCCCATCGACAACATAGACGCGCGCGCGCGTTATATTACGCCGCGTATATTTTATTTTTGTTGCGCGAATTCGCGCGAGTTTTGCTCGAACTTCGTTCACCGATACAACCGTGGGAGGAGTGGAAGGAAGAAAAGAAGAAAAGGGCGCGACGTAAAACGCGACGTTTCGTTATCGAAAACATATTTTAAGAGAGTCTCTGTTCTCGTTGCGCGCGGAATCGAGCGGTATCGCAACTCCCTCTTTGCGATCGAACTCCGAAGAGAGTTTGATTTATTCCGCGGCGCGCGTGGCGTTAAAAGCAACGATTCCTTCGTTGCTTCTCTATTTCTCTCTTTCTCTCTCTCTCTCTCTCTCTTTCTCTCGGCGCTTTGTGCAGCAATCCACCTCGTGAATAATCCGCCCCGAGCGTCGTTAGATTTTTTTTTTTTTTTTATCCCGACGTGAATTTCTCTCGTCGTCGCGAGTAACCGCGAGTTTTGTGCAATTCGATTCGAGATGATACTCCGTTTCTTGCGACGCTCTCCTCCCATCAGTCAGCAAAGATGCGCAAACATCCCGTCGTCGGAGTTACGACCGGGGGTCGTAAAAAGGACTTCCGTGTAATTTTAATCGGAGAGCGTTCAAGAGCGGGAAAGTTTTTGCCAGAAGACCGAGAATTTCCCGCCACCCTCCCGGAATCGGTCGGTTACCCTTTCGCTTCCTTTCGTCTCGTCTTGTCTTGTTCCGTTTCTCCCCTATCGTTACTTTTGTAATCTTCGCGAACGTTAGTCTCTTTGAGTTCGAACGAGCAATCGAGCAATTTACATGTCGAAGTAACGATCTCGCGTGTAAATGAAGCTCTCTCTAACCTAACCCTAACCTAACCCAACGTGGTTTTAGAGGGTAACATCATATACTTATTTTACTTCACGAGTCAAAACGGGAAAAACAAGGAAGTGTCTTGTTATTTTATTCGAACTTTTGTTTTGTTACACAAGCAAGCTCATTGTTGCGAGATTACAACTAATAAGATACAAGCGCAATTTAAAAAAAACTCTATTTTTATCATTTGCACGCGAGGAAATTTGCGAACTTGACATTCGGATTAAACGGATATTCGGACGATGTTCGTAAAAGCGCGAAGCGTTTAAGGGAAAACAAAATTGATTAATCGCATTAATCGCACGCTCGTACAAATTGTCGCCAATGCTCGCGGCAAATGCGCCGCAAAAAGAGATATCAGCAACCCCCGTGCGACATAACGTTTCGTACAACAAATTTTCGCGGACGGAAAACTCCAACGACGCGGTTCTGTCGCACGTTTTTTTTTTTTTTTTTAACGTTGCGGATGAATTTATCGCCGAGGATTTCTTTTCGGGTACGATCTCCCCCTTACACCGAGGGCTTATTCCGGCGCGCAATGTTGTTTTACTTCCCGCGTGTTTTTTTTTTCTTTCTTCCGCCAACTTTCACGTTGCCTCGTTACTACGGCGGACCGCCGTGTCGTCGCGACAACGAGAAAACACACAACGAGGAGACACAAAGAAGAAAACACAAATCTTGTCAAAACAAACACACGCCAATTTGCACAATTAACGCGGACAAATCGAGTACACAATTAAGGTTGCGCAAAGTGTTAATTTACGTAACGCGATATTGCGGTAGCACGAGATGTCAACACGACGGTAGATCGATTAAGGCAATTGTTTACTCCTGCGATCGCGCGTATACACATTGGTTTATCGCTGCGCTTGGAAATCACCTCGTCGCTATCTCTTTCCGAGCTAATGAGGAAGCTACCGTGAATCGCGTCTGATAATCTTCGTCCGATCGAATTCGAAAATGTGCTACGTGATTATTTTTTTTCCCGCCGTCGCTCCGCACGCGTCCGGTGCTGTAACTCTCTCGCGCGATTTTACGCGTTCGATTTTGCGCTTTGCCAAAACGACGTGTCCGATATCATCTTTGTGTCTCGTGTTCATTGTGACGCGCAACGTTATCGCGCGTTCGCGGTAATAAATCAATCGTCTATCTCACGATGGAATTATGAGAATCGTTACACACGCGCGGTGATCTCTCTTGTTATCTTAGGATTTTAATGTGTGTTTGTGTGTGTGTATATATCGGGCGTTTGTAAATAATAGAAACAAATCCATGACGCTCGACAAGCAGAAAACAAAAATATAATCGACGCGATGAAATATCGAGGTATCGATTTCAAATTGGAAAATAGAAACGCGAAATTAATAGACGAGGAAACAGTTTTTAAATGCGAAATGGAAGTCGCGTGTGACATTTAATCGGTGTGTCGTCGTTCGACGATCGCAAAACGTGCATCAGGAATCTCAATTTTTTGAGATACTCTTCGCTGGGAGGGGGGAAGTTGCTCCAGGCGTCGAACTTCTCGTATCCGAAATTGTAAGGACCTTGCCGGGTTTTTTCGAACAAAGTGCTCGCGATGTTTCTCTTCAGTTTCTCGACCAGATCGTCGGAAGATCCTCTGCTCGGCTTCGCGCGCTTCGTCGACGCGTCTCTTTTGGAATTTTGCGAAGATGCGAGACCGCGACGAGTGAACAGACGATCCCTGGTCTTTGCGGTGGTGCGCTTCTTATTTTTCGGCGCCCGAGAAGACACGTCCCTTAGAAATTCCACAGGCGGCGACTCGACGCTCATGTCCGATCCGTCAGACTGAATCGATTCTTCGTGATTCTGCGATTTTCTCGACACGTCCCTCTCCTCTTCCGTGTCGTCCTTGTCTTCCTCACTTTTTTGCGTCAACAAATCCGTCGTTGTATCATTCTCATCCCCCTCACCGTTGTCTTTCTCTTTGTCAATTGACGAACTATCTGTCGAATCTTCTTTCGTCGCATTTGAGCGACTTAAAATCTCGTCAGATTTCGCGAGATTCCTACGCGCGTTTGCTTCGTTCTTCTTTTGTCGCGAGGACTCTTCCGACTGCGAATTTATGGAAAGATCGCGATCTTTTTTCTCACGTTCGGTTTCTTCGTGCTCCGCGTCGCTCTCTTGATCGACCAGTTCTTCTATTATGCTGCTTATCTGATAATCCTTGAATCGTCGATGACTTATTGTGGGTGCTTCGTTCAATTCCTCGTATTTCACGTTTGTATTCCGTCGAGTATTTTTTTTATACGATGGTACTTTCGAATTTGATTGAGATGATGACGTCACGTTCTTTTCGCCTGTACCATTTCGACTCGCGAGCGGACGTCGTTTCGTCCTCGGAGGCTCGAGCTGTTTCAATGAAAAAAAAAAAAAATAAACAAATTCAAGAGTTAACACACACACACAAATTTACGCGTTTATTTATTAAAATTGTTATTTCTTACTTTTGGCGATCCCCGAAAATATCGAGAATCGTCCTGTACACACGCGCGCACAATTTTGCAATATCGAGTTTGATTATATTGACGAATTTATGTGAGAAAATGTTCTTTAATCGTAAATTTTTCTTAGAGACTAGTCCGTATCAAAAAGTTTTTTCAAAGTACATGTGTGTTAAACGTTCTTTCCAAAAGGAACAATTTCTTTATGTCCTTACCGTGATCGATTCATCGTTCGCAAGTTTGCTCGCTTTCGTAGTTTCTTCGAGGGCGAGTTTCCCGTTCCCGTTTCTTTTGTGCTCCGCCCATTTTTCTTCCCCCTGTCGGCTTATCTTCTGCATTTTCTTTACCCGCGGATTCGCCATTCTTCGTTCCGGATCCTCGGATTTTGTAAATTCCGTCTCCGCGTTTTTCTCCATCGATTTCTCGCTGTTTAAAAAAAAAAAAAAGTGGCTCTGTGTAAATTCATTAGCAATAATCTGTTTCGCGAATCTTCGCGCTCCAAAAATTTTTTTAACTCGTTCAATTATTTATTACACACACGAGACGATTCTACATCGCGCGTTTCACGGTTGGCAAGTTTTTTTTCTTTTTTCTTTTTTTTTTTTACAAAAAGATATAAAAAAGGTCGAGATAGCGCTTGCGCGTTGCATCGAATTTACATTTATATCGTTCATTCAGCGCGAGATACGCTTTAACAAGATCGAAACTCGAGCACTTTGTATTGTAATATTACATTAATGCAGTGACAGATCGCGCGGTTTACCAAACTACCTTGTCGGACCGTAGTCGGGCGGTTTCGCGTTGTAATTCGCAAACCGCCGAGTGTTGTTTCTGTGCCTCGAAACCGCCGGATACTTCTTGAACTGTTCCGAATCGGTGTAATCTACAAACACACAAGACGAACGCTGCTCCTTAAACGGGACAGACTTAATCACCCACTTCGGTTTACACTTCCCGAACAGATAATATGGAATAAACTTGAGCGCTTCAAAGTCGAGAGTGTACTCCTTCCATCTCTCAAAGAGCCACTTAATGTCTCTCGTCGCGGACGGCGAGAGATCTCCCGGTTTCCTCGTTTGTCAAACTTGGAGATACATTAGCTTTATATAATATCAAAGCATCTGCACGCGCGAACGATTGTCGAACTTTAAATTGCCGTCTTATACACGAGCGCTCGCGCGAGCATCGCGCGATTTTTTTAAATTAACAGTTCGAACGCTCGCTCGCACTCGTGCGTTTTCGAAGAGATGTTTATCGACGTTTCTCTCGTGGAAAAGAGAGTTTTGTTTCTTTTCGCGAAAGCGTTTATTATTCCACACTTCTTGTTGCTCTCGCGCGAAGTAAACTTCCTTCCCGTTCGCTTCGATTTATCGAGGAACAAAATCGCACCCGATGAATTTCCCGGCTGTTTTCCGACCGTTTCGATTTTAATCATCCCATTGATCGAACAACGACGAGGCAAAAAGATCGCGCGGCGCCGAAAGTGATAAATGCGGACGGAGGGAAATTGGCGTAACGCGCGTGTTAGCCGCGGCGTAAAACGAGTCGCTTGGCCGATATACAGTTCGCGGAGATGCAGGGAGCTCGGCCGCAATCGGGCACAGTTTAACGATATTTAATTGCCAGTGAGGCACGAACGGGTAATTGAAAAGATAAAAGCGTAGTAAAGCGCGTTTGCGCGGTTGTCGTTCCCGTTTGGAGTCCATTTGCCGGTGTTTACTTTTGATTCGTCAACTCTCTCTCGATTCGTTGCCAGACGCTGCTTCGTGCAAATGCGCGTAACGGACGCTGCTCGTGCCATACGATCATTTTCTACCGCGACCGTTTTCTCTTTCGTTTATTATACCGTGTACACATACATTTATAGTGTTTCGCGCGCGGAAACACAATTAAATCTCTGTGATTTTACACGAGGGATTTGTTGTGTCCCCCCCAGTGGATACGTAGAGTTGGAGACAAAAAATACCCACGTATAAATCTCGAAAAACAAAATAAGAGGGAAATTAAAAATTATAAATCTGTAAAGCAGTGTGTGTAGAAAAAAAAAAAAAAGGATGATATACGTTTTATATATAACTAAAGCCGCCAAGATACCACGTTCGGGACAAAGGCATTAACGAGATTTACGACACTAATAAAGTCCCGTTTAGTACGAAACTCACGCGATTGTGAGGTAAATTAAGAACGGAAAGGAAATTATAATCCGCATTAACTCGCCAATGGGCGGCGCACTTTCAACGAAATTTAATTTATTTCGTGACGCGTCCGTACACAGGATGTGTGGAGCCCCGGCGCACTGACGGGGTGGAATTAGATTTTAGGTGCGCGCGCGCTCGCGCGCTCCCGTTCCCGCTTTTGTCGAGGGGGAGGGGGGAGGAGAGGGGAGGAAAAAGCAACTTCGCCCTTTGACGGCCCGTACGATACGACGCGAAGTAAACTGTAATCTACAAAGTTAGCGACGTATTTTGTGAGAGGATCGATGTAACAAGCTGTGAAAGTATTTCCGGGAGTTCCCGGGGAGTCCTTTATCGCAATACGGAGATTGCGCCTCGGCCACACGACTTTTATGAGGTAACGCTTCGCGAACCAACGTTTTGCGATACGATCCGCGCCGGAAATAGAAAATCGATTGCGCGTTCATTTCGGAAACGGATTCCAAGTTTATCCGCGGGGTTGTGACGTCAGGGCTTAACCTAATTGCTCGAGAAGATCCTCGCCGGGAAATCGAAGCGAAACGTCAAATAAACGACGTCTTCTTTAACGCGCGCGTCACGAAAACTTAGTCGGATAGAGTAACACGGTTATGAAATTCTCATTTGCGTGTGGTATATCCACCGTCTAATAAAATGTAAATCTAAATCCGACTTCTCTATCTCTCTCTGCTTCTTAAACATATATTATCAATCTTGTCAGTTGTATATAATGGTTGTTTAATTAATCTTCTCTTTCGACGTTTATATATATTATCTCCATTTATTATAATTTATCGCGCTCGATATCATCTCTCTCTTGTTTCAAAATTGTCACATTCTTTTAAACAGACATTTTTTCGAAAAATAAACGGAAACTCTGAAGTTACGTTTCACGTGATAATTTAATGTTTTTTAACGAAATTTTTCTAACAAAACAAAGCGCGTCAAAATCTCGGAATAATTTCTTCTTAATGGAGTTTTTTTTTTTTTTTTTTTTTAGTAAATACACTCTGCGCAACGCGCGCGGAAAGTTAAAATAGTGTGAGAAAATTGGCCTGGAGAGACCAAAGTATTCGGGAAGAGAGACACGGCGAAGCCGCAAACTTCGAAGATATATTTAACTCGCGGCAACATTTGTGCTGCGAGTCCGAGAATGGAATAGTGCGCAAACACGCGTTTACAATTTACCGACCAGCCGTCGACTGTTCGTAGCTATTCGTGTCCGTGACAAACCGTCTGATCAAGACAGCGATGCGAAAACGGCAGTTGCCGACACGGATTCGGACGCACGATGCGAGATAAAGAATTTAAATTAAATTATCGCGCGCGAAGCAAACCAAGCGGCGACGAGGTGTAATCGGCGCGATCTCGACGTCGCGCCGGTCGATATTCTCGGCCAGGTGATTCCGAATCGCGATAACACAACGTCGCGCGCGCGCGCAAAAAAAAAAAAAAAACAGCGAAAAGAAATCATCGAGAATATCAGAAGCTCGAGGAAAGCGCGTCGGTTTCTTCTCGTTTAGATCTTTTTCTCGTTGGGATCGCGCGACGCGATCGTTGACCGATTCGTCGAAGCGGACAGAGATAAGGATTCCGTGTTACGCCAGTAACACGACTTGAATCGATTCTTATTTTTCTTCCTCGACTTGTCGCACTTGGCCGTTACGTCGTAAATTATGGCGCGACTGCAGTCGCGATAGCCACGGTGCAAGATCGTGTCACACTTTCGTCGATCTCTCACGTACCTTCGTCGTTCCCACACGTGTCTGTTTCCCGCAAAATCTCACGGTTATGTAATCCCAAAGTTCCGCAGACATTTTCGCACGTAAATTTGCTCGAACTGCTAGTAGTCCAAAAATTTGTCAGATTATCTTAATGGAGCGATATTAAATTTGTCTGTTTACTCAAAAACACGAAAGTAACGCGATATATGATGATTTCATATCTCTCTCTCTTCTGAAAATAATCTTGATTTAGAATATTGTAGCACTGTTGCTTGTTTTGTTTGATGTTGTGTCACATTGTGCGCAAAATAAAGAATTTTCCACTCACCATACGAGCCCGAGGTGTAAACGAACGTGAACAGAAGACAAAAAACAAATGCCACCGACACGAACAGGTGGTTACTATGGCTGATGGCCATTTTGTCCGGCAACATATGATATACACATCATGCGTGTACATATACTACTGGTCAGTTCGAGTGGTGGGGCTTGATTTATCGTCCACGGACAAATCCCGTCGTGTGGCAACTCTTCCCACATGTAACATTCTCTGGATGATTTTTTTTTCTTTTTTCTTTTTTTTTTTTTTTTTTTCCAAAGATAGATCGACATGTAGCGGACTTATATTAGCGACGCGATTATTTCTAGACATTTTCCAGAAAATTCACGTGAATGAACACAACAACGCACTGTTTTATTGAGAAAAAACGTGCTTCTATAAATTATTTAAACGCGACGTTAAAAGTTAAAATAAAGTTTTTTTTATATTATTTCTACGGTTAAAAGCTATTTGTAAAATATGGATTTGCATATACAATTAATTTATTTATTGAAAAATTTATGTGTATTAATAAAACGCGAGAGATTGTACTTTAACAGACGTATGAGTCAACAAAAAAAAAACTAGCAAAACTATTTTGTATAAATGGTTTAAAAAAAAAAAAAATCATTTGAAAGAAGATGATATTTACGTCTTCTCTTCCTGGACTAGGCGCTATATCAGTTTTGATAGTCGTATTTCAATTTCAGTTCCAATACGATCTCGCAAATGGCACGGAAAATCGAAAATGTCCCGCTTCGACACGCGTCGCTTGACCGCATCTTGTTCGTCTTAATAAACGTACGTGTTCGATTACAAAAGCGCAGTAGGCGCTTGTAGATGACTGCTTATAATTTTCGATCTTGTGCGTTACGTCTAAGCGAGAACATTTCGCTTTGTGAAACAATTGTTAATTTCTTCAAGTATCGTCAACACTTTGTTGACACGTGGATACGATCGCGCGCAATGAGTCACTCGCAAGATTTTTCTCATCCGATGTTTGTTTTTTTCTTTTAATGTTGACACGTGACTGTATCAGAATACAACGTGTCAAACGAAAACACTGATCGAGACGAATGCTGCGATATTACTTGAACAAATTACATCAAGCGAACTTTTCATCAGTTCGGATTGCAATTACTTGTGTTTTTTCATAACGTACACGCAACGAAACGCTACTGCGTTTAATAAAGCTTCTAGTGCGATCAACGAAATAAAACAATTTTTTTATACACGAGTTTCAAAAATGATACTCGGATTAATTTTTTTTTTTTTTATTTATTACATGTCGGTGTGTTAGTCTCTCGAACAGTGTAAATTTTTCTCAGCGCAACAAATTTTGAAATTCTTTGAAGAATTGCATGCGTGTAGCAGTTTGCGAAATATCAGTTTGTAAGCTTCATCGACGCTGTCAATCAGCGCATCAATTGAATTCAATTCTCTTTATAATCAAACACTTCCGATTTATTTTAAATCATTACGAACACGTTTTTTTATCAAAAGATCGTTGTTCTTTATCGATTTATCGCAGTAAGAACGTCATCGAAACGATATCTTGACGCGATTATTTTCTTTCTCTTGCCGTCATCTCCCTCTCTCTCTCTCTCTCTCTGTACATACAATTCTTTGAATTTTGCTAAATATTCGAATTCTAACGAGTCTTTCGTCGATTTTGTGAATTCTAAACTGTTTGAATTCTTTTCGTATCGAAAAAAATGTATTTTTTTTTATTTTCGAGAAAATGTTCTTGGCAACTCTCACAGAAAACGAATTCACATGCTTGTCACGATTCTATTTCTTGTCTCTTGCTATCGTCTTTTCGATTTCGGTCGCATCCATCTCTATATCGATAACAATTTCGTTGAATAGGTTTTTATGGACTTGACAATCCCGTGAGCGATTTATTCCTGAAGGTGATCGTCTCCAAGTCATTTTGTGAGCGTTTTCTGCATTTCAATGATCAATGCGCGAAGTTGTTGTATTAGCAACATTCTGTCGTTCTCGCATTGTGGTGGGAAATATATTCAATTTATCTCTCTCTTCACACAAAAGATTACGATTTTTAACGTATTTATTTTGCTATTTGTGCTCACCAGTGTAATAATTTGCGATTTGAATCAAATTTATATGTTTAGAAAACGATAGATTGCTGATCATATTCATGTTTAACAGGACCATTAGCTAGGAATGTTTGTTTAAATAATAGCAAGAATATAAAAACTACTGTTTTGAATTAATAATGAATAAATGAGAGAAATATGTGTTTATAAAGAAAGTAAACTTTTATTTTTAAATTCCGCACAGTGTGTTCGACTTCGAAATTTATATTTTGCATCTAACGTTTATTTTGGTTATACAATGTCAGCTTTTTTGATCGAGACAAATACAAAAGACCTACCGCTGCAATTTTGTAAAATAGATTTAGTTTTGAATAAGCTGCCAGCACACACACACTTGTTTGATTATTTACTACGATCGAATGGGGAAAAGCTTCTTGCGCGTGAGGATAACCAAGTAATTTTGCTGCCTCAATTTTTTAGCGAGATATCGGAAGTTTCTGGTGGTGGTGGTGGTGGTGCTGCTGCTGCTGTTGGTGACACTCGATTTTGCAGAGGCAAACTTTCTATCCCCACGTTGCAGGAAAGCCTGCAAAATTTAAATTGAATTTCATTGTAATGACACCCATTGATCCTAAATAAATTAAAAACACACAGAAGATGGAAACCTTAAGTAACGTAGTTAAAATGACGGATTTGTGTGTGTGCCCTTGTGTGAAAATTTAGATTTAGTTTTAATCAAATCATTTGTTTGAGGCACTGGAATCAGAAATAAAATTTTACGTGTCATCAAATGTTAATACATTGTTAAGTATTGCCAAATAAAAAAAATTGTTAATAGCTAGATAATAGTTAGAAAATTAATAGCTAATAATTAATTGTGAATAGCTAGATAATAGTTAGAAAATAGCTAGAAAATTGTTAATAGCTAGAATTGTTGAAATGCAGCAGACATTTACGATTTTACAAAAGTAGAACTTGTTTTTTCTTTTTATAGATTATATTTGATTTCTAACCTCGATTGTGTGTGCCGTGATGCGTTTCCAAATCTAAACTCTCTGTAAATAAAAGAAAAGAGAGTGATTTTTTGTCACTACTTGTCTCACGTAAATTTTTGCGATCGAGATCAAATGAAAACAAATTTTCGTACCGTGTCCATCAACTGCTTTGAGCAAAAGTTGAACCTCCTGCAAGTTTCCGTTTACTGAAATAAAAATTTCTTAAAACACACGCCTTCATCAAGTTCAGTACATGAGTGAAAATTGAATAAGAATGAGAGAGTATAAAGAGAAAGAGAAGAGATTGTGTGTGTGTGTTTAGACTCACAATCGCCAATAACACCGTATCCCACCACATCCACGTCTTCGTCATGATGATGGTTCTTAGGCGCGCTACGTACTTCTAAAACGGATAAACGGGGTCTATCAGGCGCACAAAGAAGCCGACGTATTATAAAAATAGAATATTCTAAGTACGTGCGTAGAAAGTTTTGACGACAATTGTTCGTGAAATACAACACTGTGACATTCATTGTGTGATCCAAAAACTAACGACACTAAAATATTTTCACTTGTTCCAAATTCTACAGAAAAGAAAACCTACGTGTTTTATGTATTTTTTTTTTTTTTTTTATCTTGCATTCGAGAAACAGAAGTCGTAATATATAAAAAAAAGTCTATGTGTATAAAAAAAATATATATATAAAATTTAATACAATATTTAATAAAAATACAAAAATTTTAATAGCGAGAAAGGATGAAATAGGTCAAAATATAATAAAGTATCAATGTAATAAAAAAAAAAAACGTTACCTGGAATTACGAGATTAGCACACACAGCGATTGCGAGCACGAGAAAACGGATCGCCATCGTGACGATGTCGAGTTCAATTTGTTAGAATGACGCGCACGCTGACACGTAAGCTACTTTATATATTACCGTCGAACAAGCAATTATCTTTTGTCATAATAATACGCTTTCAATGGACCGGAAACTTATGAAACGTTTCGCATACGCAATTATCGTTGTCTGGCAATAAAAAGAAAAAATCTTTCGTTTTTACTGCCGCGCGATTAAATTGACATAAGGTGACGATAAGTGGGGTTTAGTACGCGATTTATTTCTCTTTATCGTCGCGCGTACTCATAAATTCATGGACGCACATATGGCCCGTATCCGCGGCTTATTATACGCATACACACACACACACATACACATACACACGCGAAGGAACTTTAATGCGTCGCTTGAGCGATTTGATTTTGTTGCGCGACGTGTTGCACGATGCGTTTACAAACCTTCGAGGAAAACGGCCAGGTGTAAAAACCAGCTTTATCAAGGCCGCCATTACACGTTGACGGTTTTCATTAAGCTTCATAAAATATTGACCGTGGCGATTTGAAATTAAACGAGCGAATCGAGCAATCCGGAGGAGGGGAGGGGGCGAACGATTCGAGGCGGGTAACTCGACGGTAAAATTTGTAAACGCGGGCGATCGTGTAAAATATGCGGCGCGTTAAATGCGTAAATTGTTTAATGGAATCGGATGTGATAATGTATCGAAATTAACGTTGCGAGATGATTCGCGACCGCCGCGCGAGCGATTGAATAATCGTGGCGATCTGCGTGATATAATTTTCAGGAAATTAATATTGTCATTACTCCGTTTTACTACAGCACAAAGGTGCAACATCGCCGTACGCGGAAATAGGAAAGTGTGTGTTAGTGTTGTGTAATTAAATAACTCGTATTAAATTATGCGCCACGTTGTATATTGTACAATTATTAAAAAAAAAAAGACTAGTGTACCTGCGTGAAAGAATGTACACATGAATGTACTTGTAACAATCAAAACAAAAGAGTTTTTTCATTATTTTTTATTTTTTATTTCTAATTGTTTTACTCGTGTAAATGTCAAGTGAAAAATAATTGCTGTATTATGCTATCTTTAAACACCAGATTGAAATGTCACAGTACTCGTCAACACACAGAGAAACGGAACGAAGCAAGACCGTCTTACAAACCATATATATAACACGTATAAGAAGTGTTAGAAATAACGCACAAAAATCAAACTCAAAAAATAGAGAGAAGAAGAAAAGGAAAAACAACACAAGACTAAAGTCACGTGACTTTAGTTACGTGTCTTTCAAAACGTGACTAAAGTAACGTGACGCGGAGGAGAGGGAAACCAACATGTGACTACGGTCACGTGATTGTACTTTAGTCACGTGTGTTTAAAAATGTGATTACAGTAAGGTCACGTGACCTGGAGAAGACGGACAACAACACGTGATTAAAGTCACGTGACTTTACTTTAGTCACGTTTGTGAAAACACTTGTAGTAGTGATTGTAGTATTAAATAAACGCTTTGTTTGGGAAATTGTGGATTTAATCACGTTTTTTTACATTGTGAACACACCGAATGTGTTATTTCTCTCTCTCTCTCTCTCTCTTTATATCTCTCAAAAACAATTATTTTTGTATAAATTTAGATTATTCCAATATAAGATTGATCTCTTAAAACAAATAATCACAAAATATAACTACAAACGCTTGCAAAGAAAACAAATGTAAATAATTGAAAAAGTGTATGCAAAACACATACGTAGAAAACATACATTAGTTTATTTATTCCGCATTTATTTACTCAAATTACATTATCAC